GCACAGAAACAGTACTATATAACATTTTAGACACATTCTAGACAGTTTATCAGCTAAAAAAAGTTAATTTTGGGGTAAGTTACTCTTTAAATTATAATTTGTTCCTATTTTTCTGTTGGATAAAATTTCCGTCAGATCTTTGCTTTGTAAAGGGGGGCCAATTGTCCTAAAATTAGAAACCATTGTCGGTTTTTTTTTTTCTTAAATTTTATTTAAAAGAAAAGCTTTCTGTGGAAAAGTCATGTAAAATGTATAAAATCAGCAGTTAAAAGCCAAAAAATACATTTAAAAAGAGTTTTAAACGAGGCCGTTGAAGTGGCTTGTCTAATTTTTGTAAGGAGTAAGTCAGTGATGTAAGATAGAGTCCATTCATAGATTTAAAAACTACATACAAATCAACTCTAAGCACCACAGGTAGTCGGCACAAAGAATCAAGAATTAGAGTAATATGATCATATTTACGGGTTCTGCTGAGGTCTCTAGCTGCTGTTTTCTGTACTAATTGGAGTCGTTTAAGGGCTTTTTGAGGCAGACCAGCAAATAGAGAATTGCAGTAATCAAGATGACAATAGACGAAAGCATGAATGGAGGTTGGAAGAGAGATCATTGTTCTTATTTTGGCAGTATTCTGAACATGATTAAAGGCCGTTTTAACAGTATTATTAAAATGTTTTGAAACGCACAGACCAGAATCTAAAACGACCCCATATTTCCTGGCCCCATGGGTAAAATGGAAACATGAAGAGTTGAGAATCTGAGTAATGGGGCCTTGTGTGCCTTGGGCCAAAACCTGACACCTCAGTTTTGTCATAGTGTAACAATAAAAAGTTATGCATCAAGACCTTAATATCAGAGAGACATGAAACTAGTATGTTTACAGCAGACAGATCAGATGTATCAAAAGCTAAATAAATTTGAGTTTCATCTGCATAGAAATGAAAAGAGATTTTATATTTGTGAATAACTTGACCAGGTGGTAACATGAATAGAAAATAGCAGTGGGCCAAGAATGGAGCCTTGAGTAACATCACAGATGAGTTTTACAAAACTAGAGGAATTGCTACCATTTAAAACACAGAAGAAGCTATCATGTAAAGAGGATTTAAACCAGTTCAGAACAGTTCCATTCACACTCACAGAACATTGTGGGCAATTAATTCGATTGTTGTGATCAATTGTAAAATGCTGCTGAGAGGTTCAACAGAATCCAGACCAAACAGCAGCCAGCATCCAGATTCATCCTAATATCATTCACAACTCCTAATCATGCAGTTTCAGTACTGTGGTGTCTGCGGAAACCAGAATAAAAACTTTAAAAGACTGAATTTTTGTTTTCAAAAGCTGATAACCGAGTATAGACTGCTTCTTCTAAAATTTTAGCCATGAAAGGATGTTCGGAAATAGGTTTATAGTTGTTTAGATCATCCATATCCATTTATTCTCTGAGGTCGGTGTCACCTCGTTGTTTTTGTACCTTTCTTTCAAGAAAATTATGATTCACATTTGTGATGTCCTCCCACAACTTTTTTTTAGGGTGCTGTCACCAAAAAAGTTCCTCTTATTCAGGATGTATATTTTTATCTGGGTTAATTCTATAAATCACTGTCAGGCAGTTTTTGAGAGTTTTTTATTTTTATTTTTCTAAAAGCTGTTTTTAGATCTTCTGAGTTGGCCCTGTTTTTGATCGTTTCTAACTCTGTGGCTTGTTTGGTTTTCAGGTTGGGTGGAGAAGGAGACGTACTACTGAGTCACCGCAGAAGAAGGGAGCGTGTTTTGTCATTATTTGCTGCCATGTTACATATTTGTTTGAGATGCCACAACCCCTCGCCCCTCATACATACAAAAAAGAAACGAGCATGGTTAAATTAAGAATATACTAATGTATGATGTCGTCCCCAATAAACTTTGTCCTTACTACTGTACGCAGAAGCTGCTTGTGTGTTTGTTTCATCAAAAGTTGTTCAGAAGGTTTGTACCGAGTTTGTTCATTTCAGTGCAGAGTATGAAAGTAGAAATCAAACTTCTGGTAATAATCTCTTGAAATAAGTATCACGCAAAAAGCAGGGAAACAACGTGTACGCTGAGTCAGCACCCGTACTGTTAAATGCTAGGTAAAATTTAAAACCAAACTGTTAAAATTTTCTAGATATTTAACTTTATTTACAAAGAAAATCCTAATAAAATACATAGAAATCTCTTTCAGTTGAGGAGGGTTTCCTCCAGAAAACTTGCAAAGCCTGGTGGACGTTTTTAATGCTGGAAAGGAGATTGGCAGGGGCTAGCAGTAGCACTGTCAATAATGCTAGGTCTCCGCAATTCTAAATAAGCAAGCAACAATGCTTAGGCTGGAGGAGTTTGAAGTAGCTAAAATCTCAGAGGCGTTGTGAGTTTCAGTGAGTTTCACCCCTGCAGGAGCAATGACGAGGGTCGCTTTGAGCACTATTTTTGTCGCGAGCCCAGTTTGACGAGCTGCTGACCCACATCGCTGCCCACATCTCCTGCCAGGACACCGACTACAGGTGCTCCATTTCAGCTGGAGAGCGCCTGTCCATCTGCCTCAGGTTAGTGGACATCATTCAGGATACTTCCCTGCGTCTTGGTCCTTCCGTCCCATCAGAAAATGTGACATGTCACATGGCTGAGTCTATGATTGATTGACGCTCCGCATCCAGTTGCAAAAATTCAGATTTTCCAACTCTATCGTCTGATGCATGAAATGCTTCACACAGGGCTAGATGCATGAGGCACATTTCTTGACACCACTAGACGCTCGTCCACCATAGACCACATGGAAACCAGATGCCCCTGGTGCTCAAATCACGTTCAGTCTAATTGCAGCATTAACCTGACTGATAAGCTAAGTCTATGAAATTTTACCCACCTGGAGAGGATAATCACAGCTTCAAGTGTTTGTGTTTTCACTGCCACTATCCATGTTGTTCATAGAGGACCGTCGCACTTTATGGGCACTAGTCCCCTAGCAAAATATGAGTTGAAACGTTGAAATATGGTTAGACATCACCATTCATCATTGTTGAAATCATACAGAAAGTGGTCGGTGACTTGCATCTTGAAACAATGTTAGGCTTTCAACCACAACTGATTCGTTATCAATGCTGATTCAACCTCTTTCCCTTCTCTCCCTTCTATTCCTAGAGAGAGGAGGAGGGGTGACAAACAGCATACAGTGATTCAACATTGATTAGACGTTGGCCTTTCAATCATTAGAACTCCACCATGAAACAACATTGATTCAATAACATCTTGTCAACATTGGTTAATGGCTAGAATCAGATGATTGTTTGATGGTTGATTCACCATCAATCATCGACCTTAACCAAAAATCAACTTTTTTTGACCATAATTCAACATTGAATTAACATCTTTTGCTATGAACAACATGGTGCACTAGTCCCCTAAAGCGCTATATATAGCGCTAATTGTGAACCTAAATTTCTTGTTTGCACCTTAGGACTGTGTGCGCATTTGCTCTTGCGAAATGTAAAAGTTAATCGTCTCAAGCCAATACAATGCAGAATCATTGTAAGTTAACAGCGCCCCCATCCAGTAAGTGTTTTTCTCAGAAGCTATATCCACAGTATTCCTGAATTTACACCAGTATCCATAATTCAGAAAGTATGTGGGTTTTTGTTTTGTTTTGTTTTTTACTTCTGCTTGTGCTGTTGTTCACAATTAGAAACAGACTTTTGGCTCATGGTGATAAAACAGTTATTGTGGATTGCTAGTTCTGCTGCTTCTTGGTCATTTTCTCATGTTTATGGTAGGGCTTCAGTTATAAAGCATGCAGGATATATCAGTAATTTTAAAATGTTTATTGGAGAACTGAAGCAAAGCTTTATGGGTACAGGAGAGTTTGGTGGGGTGTGGGAAAGGGAGAGCACGGAAAACAGGAAACCATCTTCACGTCAAAATAAGAGCATGGATTTTCCCTACTCATGGCTCCAGTTATCACTAGATCTCTTCATTAGCCTAGAAGCTTGAATTTACTTTTTGTACTTTTTAAACAATAGAAAGGACCAGTAAATAAATGGAAGGCAATGCAAAGCCCCCATGGGGATAGGAACAAACGTGTGTGTGTGTGTGTGTGTGTGTGTGTGTGTGTGTGTGTGTGTGTGTGTGTACTTGTTTAGGATCATTTCTGTTATACACACCTACCTTGTTAGGACCAATAGTCTTAATGAATGTATGAATGAATTCTGAATGGGTGTTCTGAACTGTAATTTCATTGTGCTCTGTACAATGACAATAAAGGTCTATCTAATCTAATTTAATCTAATCTAATCTAATCTAATGCAATCTAATGGGGACCAAAGACAGGTCCTAATATGGTGAAACTCCATTTGTGGGTCAGGGGTGAAGTTTAGGACTAAGGTATGATTTGAGTTTAGCTTAGTTTTAGGATCAGGTTGGTACCTGTGAGGTTAGTTTTAGGATAAATGGTCATGGTTAGGCTGTAGAAATTAATGGGAGTCAATGGAATGTCCCCATATGTATAGGTGGACACAGCTGTGTGTGTACATCCTCGTGCCAGCCTGGTCACAGATGACCGTCTTCTCACATGCAGGCAATCGAAGACCTGATCGAACATCACCCACAGTTGTAGAGCGTCTTTGTTCCTGTCGGTCAGTCGGGTTCCTCTGCCCTGCAGCCTCACAGGTGATTTCCTTCACAGCAGAGGGAGCCAGTGGAGGTCCAGCGGTGGGAATCTGCCGACAAAAGGATGGAGGGGATTCAGAAAAGAATGCGAGTGACAAAATGGAACGGAAGCGCCGTTAATATATTTAAAACACAACAAGCCGTTTGTGGATCCGACGCAACGGTTTCAAGCGAGGAAGGCTGCAGATGTAACCTAACATTATCATGCCTTCACCCCCCATCCACCACCTCCTTTCCTCCATCCTTATCCTGCCCTCCTTCAAAAGCAGGGCCCTTGCTTGTTGCCATGGCAACCCATTAGAGAGCCCTCGTTTTTTTTTTTTTTTTTTYTTTTTMAGTCTCTCTCCAACATCTAAATAAAATCTGGGCTATTTATAGAGCAAAGCAGTGACACGTGAGCTACAATACTGCACATGCATCCATGTCGCCTAAACAAAAATAAATGTTTTATGCACGGCTGTGTCCATCTGTGTGTTAGCGCAGGTTTACAGTCATCCAAAGATGGTCATCGTAGTAAATTCTATCAGAAGCCACTGGGCGTCCTTTTTTATTTTTGAAGACGTTTCACTTCTCGTTCAAAGAGTTCTCTTTTATTCAAAGTGAATGAAAGCAGCTGCCTAAAATGCTTGCCCTTTGCACGCCAAAGTTTGAGCTGAAGTTCTTGCACATTTCTTATCATTTAGAGCAGTGGTTCCCAACTCTGGTCCTCGAGGCCGACTATCCGGCGTGTTCTCGTTGTTTCCCAGCTCTTCCGATTCTTCAGAAGCCTGTTAATCACTCATTCACACAAAGCAGGGTCAAGGGTCTAAGTGGGGAAACAACTAAAACATGCAGGACAGTGGACCTTGAGGACCAACACTTGTTTTAGAGCACAATGTGTCAAACTCATTTTCAACGAGGGCCACGAACGTCTTGTTCCTCGTCTCAGTGCTGCGGCACCGCTAATTAGCAATAACTGAGCTCTACGTGGTATTTCTTGTGTAGAAATGTCATTTTTTAAAGGTCCTCTTATAAACACTGAACAGTACTTTGTGTACGACTGACTAAATGTGAAATAAATAATACAAAAATATTATTAAATACAAAAGTAAGAGTTCTACAGTTGTGGTGAGGAGCTGCTTACTTGAATTCTGAACCCTTCCCGACAGGAAATTCCCACAAGAGGGGCATTCGAGTTTAAATTTACCACTTGTTAGTGGGAAATTCCCACATCCCAGTACAACTGGGCTGCAGCAAAAAGTAGTTGGTGAAAATACAACAAAATTGAGTTTACATGGTGAATTTTGCCAGGTGCCAGCTACTTTTGTACCCAGTGCACCTCCGCCTAGTGGTGGGATGCCATCATTTTGATGATAAAATAATCAATATACATTATGGGAGATATAGTTTATGGTCAATGCTGGCTTTAAAGCTGCTTATTTTAAGATATTAATACACCTTTAAAGCTCTCGCGAGCCATATAAAATGCAGTGGTGGGCCACATTTGGCCCGCAGGCCTCGAGTTTGACACATATTGTAGAGTATGTGATGAGATCATTCTCAGCTACTACTACCACATCAAATTTTAACTCAGTGTCTGTAGAACTGATTGATTCATAGCCATTTTAGCGCTTTGTCTTTTTCAGTTAACAGTTGAGGATGCACGCCCAGTGGTTGGTTTCCAATAGTTTTAAATGAACTCCATCATGTGGCTCATAAGAGCCTAATAGTGACAAAGTGGGTTGAGTCTAACAGTTAATGCCAACATCTGTGCAGCAGGGGCGGTTCAATGGGCGGGGCCACAGGGGCATTGGCCCCAGCTGAAATTTGATTGGCCCCCTGAAGTGCCCCTGTCCTGTCACTCATCTGTCCCTTTGCGCAAGAGTGATGATGCTGGGTGCAGTTCCATGTCCAAACACTAGAGGCGCTAATGAAACCAGTAGAAAAGTCCAGCTTGAGTAAAGCTGACAGAAGTTTTTTGTTGTTGTTCTTAAAATTTGAACAATCCTGCAGAAAAAGTCCTCCATCTCACAAATGATGGCTGGATTCTCTCACATGCTGTGTGTTTGAGAGTATTTTATCTATGTAGAGGTTGATCTTGGTTTCATCTGTCCAAAGAATGTTCTTCCAGAACTCTGCTGCTTTTTTAGATGTTTTTTTAGCAAAGTCCAGTCTAGCCTTTTTATTCTTGAGTCTTATGAGTGTCTTGCACCATGCAGTGAACCCTCTGTATTTACTTTCATGCAGTCTTCTCTTTATGGTAGATTTGG